CCGGAGCACCCGGCGGCCCGCAGGACACCTGCGCGTCGTGCGGCGGCTTCCGGCGGCCTGAGGAGCCGGGCCGGGTGGACGGCGACTTCCTGGAGGCGGTGAAGCGGCACATCTTGAGCCGCCTGCAGATGCGGGGCCGGCCCAACATCACGCACGCCGTGCCGAAGGCCGCCATGGTCACGGCCCTGCGCAAGCTGCACGCGGGCAAGGTGCGCGAGGACGGCCGCGTGGAGATTCCGCATGTCGACGGCCACGCCAGCTCAGCAGCCGACGGCCAGGAGCGCGTGTCGGAGATCATCAGCTTCGCCGAGACAGGTGGGTGAGGCCCTCGGGCGGCCGGCCGCGGCCCGTGCTCCCTCCCTCACGCCCTCCCTGTCCTTGCCCGCGCGGGCCGCCGCCGCCGCTGCCTGCGCTCTCCAGGGGCACCCCGGACTTCTGGCCCGGCCCACTCGGCCGTGTTTTTGCGCGCTCTCTCCCAGTTGCCGTTCACTTATCCCAGATTGCGGACGCCTTCCTGCCCCCGTCGCCGAGCGCCCTGCCCTCCACCCGGGCGTCTTGGCGCGCGCCTCCCTCCCGACAGATGCCTGCGGCCCTGGCTCCGCGGGCACTTGCTTGGCGATTGCTTAATGTTTTTGTTTCCCACGAACGGAGTGTAGGCTTAGCAGTGTGGATGGAGATGTGTGTGCTTGTTGATATACGTGGGCTGGAGGAGAGAGAGAGAGAGTGTGTGTGTGTGTGTGTGTGTGTGTGTGTGTGTGTGTGCGCGCGCGCCTGCCTGTGTGAGAGGCCCTCGGGGCCGCTTCCATCGCCGGGTGGCGTGGGCTTGCCAGGATTGCTGCAGCCTCGCTGGGGAGAGCTAAGCAACCTCTCTTCCGATTGTGTGGGCACCGGAATCGGGCGGAAGGCAGGCTTCTCAACAGGTTCCATGGTTTACACAGAGAAAGACGCGGGTCAGGGGCAGCCCGGTGCCTTTCGGCCGGCTGACAGCGACAGCAGCCACCTCGCCTAAGAGCTTCTGAGTTCCTAGTTAACAAAGGGTTGGCGTTCTTTCCGGAATTTTCCCCTGGCCCCAGAGAGTCAATCTCTACCACTGTCTAAATATAAAAATCAGGGAGAGGAAAAAAAAAAAAAATCTTTGGGAACTTTAAAAGAAAGAGGAAAGTGTGCCCAGTTCGAAATGCTGCGAGCGCTTTCGACTCCGCTGTCCTTTCAGGACTTGGATGAGCCAGGCTGGCTTTTGTGCCTCCAGCTCAGCCCCATTTGTGCGAGGGGACTGCAGAGAAGGTCTCAGAGAGGGAAGCCCCAGTGCGGGCAGGGGGTGGGGACAGAGAGCCTGGCGGGCGGTTTGTGTCCCTGGCTACAAGTTCCCCCCAGGTAGCAGGCAGCCCGTGCTTGAGCCGCCTGGGGATGAAAAGGGATGAGAAGTTTTGCATGGCCGGGTGTGGAGAAAAGCTGAGACAATCGGGGCTGGTTTGTGCTAAGAAAGCAATGCACTGCCCTTTTAGCTGTCCGCTGGAGTCAGGGGAGCTGGACATGCAATTAGAGGGCTCGGATAAAAAGGTGCTTTGGGGGCTGGGGTAGAAATGTGATTCTGGAAGGTCGAGGAGGGCCTTTTGGTCCCAGTGGCACAAAATGACAGCGGGGGCTGTTATATTTCTGGTTCGTTTCGTGGAGCCAGCTCTTTGACTTATAAATAACAGATTCAGGTCACAGGCAGCTCATCCAAGACCAGCTTTTAAGGCTGCCGTTTCCCCCATTTCAAAGTCAGATGTCTGTGTTACTAGGGGAGGCAGGCGAGGCTGGGGAAGGGGGCTCAGAGGGGCGGTGGTGGGAGGTTTGATAAAACCCAGGCCTGGCCACACAGTCACCTTATTTGTTCTTCCTGCGGAAGAGAAAGAAAAAAGTCGAGATTGTCAGAGGGAAGGGTCACTGAAATGTAAGGTAGGATGAGAGGAGTTGGCTGTGGGTTGGCACAGCCTCTCCTGTTGAACTGAATTATTGAGCAAACTCCCAAGCCAACCCCCCCTTTCCTTGGCGATTTTGAATGTGCGGTGAACGGGCAGCCAGGGTCTGGTGAAGGAATGGACCTCACGTTTCCAGGCTGCGTGTTCTGTGCCTTGAAGACCTACTGAGAGGCGAGGGCTGCGCTGTGCAGCTGGCGGAGCCCCCTCCCAGTGTTAGAAACCCAAGCAGAGCCTCTTGTTTGCAGTGGAGGTTTCCTGGGGGTTGGATCAGGTCTTGCTCAGGTAAACAATGCAGAGAAGGCCGTAGGTAGCCCAGCTCGATTTTGCAATGCCCTAAGTTAACTCAAAAAAAAAAAAAAAAAAAAAAAAAACCCCTCCTGAAACACCCCCTTCCCCCCCCAATCATGGGTGCAGTGCTGGGTTTGTTTTTCAGATTTCACAGATACCCATAACAACTTGTTAAGATCTTGGCCTCCTGACAAGTTCCTCTGTTGATCTTTGAGGCCTGACAGCCTGTCTCCAGGGGCCCTGGCCTGGGAGAGGTGAGGCAGGATTTTATAGGCCCGGACCCTCCTGCTGCAACCTGGCTGGGATTTCTGAATAGGAAATAATGTTCTCTGCCTCTCCCAGGTGACAGTCAGAGGCCCTGGTCCCAGGAATGGCAGTTTTGGCCACTAACGTTTTCCAGCAGTGTGGAGAGTGGGCGTTCCAGCACCGGGCAGGCGAGAGCCGGTTACCCCCACTGCCTTGCCTTCCCCCTGAATTAACCTGGCCTGCTCCCCCTTCTCCGCAGATGGCCTCGCCTCCTCCCGGGTCCGCCTCTACTTCTTCGTCTCCAACGAGGGCAACCAGAACCTGTTTGTGGTCCAGGCCAGCCTGTGGCTTTACGTGAAGCTGCTGCCTTACGTGCTGGAGAAGGGCAGCCGGCGGAAGGTGCGGGTCAAGGTGTACTTCCAGGAGCAGGGCCGCGGCGACAGGTGGAGCGCCGTGGACAAGAAGGTCGACCTGAAGCGCAGTGGCTGGCACACGTTCCCGCTGACCGAGGCCATCCAGGCCCTGTTCGAGCGGGGCGAGCGGAGGCTGAGCCTGGACATCCAGTGCGACGGCTGCCAGGAGCTGGCCGTGGTGCCGGTGTTCGTGGACCCCAGCGAGGAGTCCCACCGGCCCTTCGTGGTGGTGCAGGCGCGCCTGGGCGACAGCAGACATCGCATCCGCAAGCGGGGCCTGGAGTGTGACGGCCGCACCAACCTCTGTTGCCGGCAACAGTTCTACATTGACTTCCGCGTCATCGGGTGGAACGACTGGATCATCGCGCCCACCGGTTACTATGGGAACTACTGTGAGGGCAGCTGCCCCGCCTACTTGGCGGGCGTCCCTGGCTCCGCCTCCTCCTTCCACACGGCCGTGGTGAATCAGTACCGCATGCGGGGCCTCAACCCCGGCATGGTCAACTCCTGCTGCATCCCCACCAAGCTCAGCACCATGTCCATGCTCTACTTTGACGACGAGTACAACATCGTGAAGCGGGATGTGCCCAACATGATCGTGGAGGAGTGTGGCTGCGCCTGACGGCCCCCGGGGGCTTCTCCAGCCCCTCTGGGGACAGGGGGCGCACGGCGGGCTGAGCGCGGCCCTCCCGTGGGGCTGCCGAGGTGGTGGCAGGGTGAGGCCTGATGTATTTTTCTACTGCATAGAGCGACCCGTTGGGAGCAGAGCGAGGACCCTCGAGGGACGTGAAATAACTCTAAAATGCACTCGGAACACGCACAGACGCATCCTGCCACCCACACAGCAGCCTCCAGGATACCAGCAAATGGATGCGGTGACAAATGGCAGCTTAGCTACAAATGTCTGTCAGCCTGAGAGAATGGGGTGAACAGCCACCATTCCCACCAGCTGGCCCGGCCACTCTGAATCACCCCTTCCGAGCACACGTAAGAGCACAAAGACGGAGACAGAGAGCGGGAGAGAGAGTGCGAGAGCCGGAGAGGAAAAGCCAGCACGGGGGCAGGGAGCCTGTGGGCAGGCCGAGGGCTGCCGTCCCCCTTCGCTTTTCGAGGCCTGCTCTGCCACCCCTGCTTGGGCTCCTTCATGTGGCAAGATCAAGGAGCCTTGCAGAGACGCAAGAGGGCCAGACAGGACCCGCCTGCCGGGGACCATGGATCAGGGGTGGTGACATTGGACTGTTGGTCACTTGGGTCCCTGATGTGACTTAGTGTGTTTTTTTTGGGGGGGTGGGAGAGGGGAGAGGAGAGGGGCTTTAATTTGATGCTTTAACTGACCACTAGCAGTTGACAGGTCATCTGTGCCCGTTGTATAACGGAAAAGGGGCTTTTTCTACCAGGTATGACCTTTAAGTTAAAAATCTAATTGTTCTAAATGGGCAAAAAAAAAAAAAAAAAAAGTTGCAATCTGCGTCCTTTGCTGGGGACATCTTGGACTGGTTAGGAGGGGTGGGAATGACCCCGAGGCAAGTGGGTGAGCCCAGAAGAGGCGATGGAGGGGTGGAGGCATTCTGGAAATGCTCTGGGTGCCCCCTGCTGAGGGAGTGCCAGGGAGGGGGGCTGCTTAGCTGGCCCGGAGAGGTGGGGAAGGCTTCCGGCCACTTTGCAGAAGTTGCTAAGGTGGGCCCCAGCCACCAGGGCCGGCCACGGACCTGGCCCCACCGCCTGCCCGCCACCCCGCCCAGCACCTGCACACCTGCCTGAGTGCACACGCTGATCTCTGTGTGTCCAGAAGTGGCCCTTGGCAGAGCACGGGACATGCTCAGCCTCTAGATAGCCAGGTGCCACGTGAACTATGCAATTTAAAGGGTTGACCCATGCTAGACAAAACTGGACTCGTACGACTCTTTTTATATTTTTTTATACTTGAAATGAAATCCTTTGCTTCTTTTTTAAGCGAATGATTGCTTTTAATGTTTGCACTGATTTACTTGCATGATCAGTCAGAAACTGCCGTTTGGAAAAAGAAGTTATTTTTATAGCAGCAAAAGAAAAAAAAAATGAATACAGTTAAATGTATTATACATAATTTTGGAACCAAAGAGGCCAGCAGATGAGTTTTAATTTTTATTAGACGGGTAGGCCGTCTTCTATGATGTAGGTGTTCTGAACAATCCTGTCAGTGGCCTGCCAGCATTTCAGGGTATAAATGGATTTTGTTTATTCAGTTTGATGTGTCTTTTCTATCCTTACACACCTAGAAGGTAGCGTAAAAGTGACAATGGTAGAACGCAGGTGTGTATCCTTAAATCTCCACCTTTATGTTTATTTAATAAAGCTTCCCTTAGGTTCTGTTTCATCATAATTTAAAACCAAACAATTTCCCCCATAGACTTGCTGTTAAAGTATTTTCCGTCTGTGTACAGTTTAAGAAAATAAAAAGATTTGGAGTGCCACAGGCTTCTTGCCTCGTGTGATGTCTGGGGGCGGCTGGGCCCGGGTGGGAGGTGGGCGGCGGGGGGAGGGGGAGTCCAGGTGCCAGGCTTTGGCATCAGGCAGCGCGGAGGCTAGCTCCCGGCACTCTCTCTGAGTCCTTGCCATGAGCACGTATGTCAGTCAGAGATTCCAGGAAAAATGGCAGGAGATCAAGATGAAGGACAATTAGCAAATTCATGAATTACACATTTGTTTACTTTTCTTGTCCCAAGACTAATTCTGTTCCGCCGAGGCCTCATGTGTTACCATTTGACAGTGCTGCTTAAGCCCAGTCCCAGGAAGGGAATGTCAAACCCGGAAGAGTGAAGCTTACCTGGAAGTGTGTGCTCACCTCCGTCTGCTGACAGAGACCACAGTCCAGAAGGGGTTGAGGGTTGAGTGTGTTAATTTTCCTCTTTTTTTTTTTTTTTTTGGCGGGGAGAGGAGGGCTTGGTGGTTCAGTGGAAGAATTCTCGCCTGCCATGTGGGAGATCTGGGTTCGATTCCCGGCCAATGCACCTCCTGCACAGCCACCACCTGTCCTGTCTGTCAGTGGAAGCTTGTGTATTGCTGTGATGATGAGCAGCTTTCGGCAGAGCTTCCAGACTAAGATTAGGAAGAAAGGCCTGGTGATCTACTTCCAAAAATCAGCCTATGAAAACCGTATGGATCATACCGGTCCACACATGGATCCACAACAGATCACGGGGATGGTGCGGGCCCAGGCAGCGTCTTGTCCCACTGTGTATGGGGGTGACCAGGAGTCGGGGGGCCAACTCCACGGCGCCTGACACCACCACCTGGGGGTTTGAACCGCCATTAGGTGGTGGCAGCGGTGTTAGCAGTAAAAATAGCTCACCTCCAGCCGCAGGTGTGACTTACATGCCCACTAAGCACTGCTAACCTGCAGCCTCACATCAAGCCTTTGTGGGAAGGGCTTTTGTCTTCGTCTTCCAGAGTTTGGAATCTGAAGCTCAGAGGGCTTCAGGGCCTGCCTGAGGTCACACATCCAGGACAAGGGCCCTGGTTGGTTGAGCCCAGTTGCCGTGGCTGCGCCACTGTCCCCCTGGAGGATTGACTCAGGTCGTGCCCTCTCCTACTGGCCCTGCAGGGCCACTGGGAATGTCTCTGGGGTCGGGACACGTGTGGTCTTTGTGGAGACATCTGAGCAGGTGGGAGTGTAGAGATGATCTAGCCCTATGCAGGTGGCAATGGGGAGACTGAGTGAGGCCCAGGTGACTGGGGGGCAGGTATCTGAGTTCACACAGCCAGCTGGTGGTAGAACCCATCTTCTGGCCTCTGTCTTTTTCCAAATCAAGAACTCTCTGGTCTGCCAGGCTTTCGGGTGGATTTCTTGGTCTGCAAAGTCGGGACAGTATAAAAGTTAATCGGAGCAAAGCGGCAGAGTTCACACACGTGAGCTGGTCTGGCTTTCCAGGGTGTGGGCCACACTCGGCCCCTCTGCTCCGCGGCGAGCTCAGCCCCGCCCCTAGGTGCTCGGGGGGCCCTCAGCTGAGCCCCCGCATCACCCTGGCCCAGGGAGTTTGCAGGTGGCCACCAGGTGGGCCAGCGTGAGGGCACCATGCTGTTTGGCTGTTGAGCACCTGTGGGGTCCCTCCTGGGCTGAGCTTCACAGGGTGGTCCCATGAGTCCCCATAGTAGCCCCAGGAGGGGCCTAGGGCGGCAAGGTCATGCAGCCAGCGGGCCGGCAGACGTGGTCCCGGAGCGGCTCTCCGCTGCCTCTTGCTGGCCGTGTCCGAGAGGCTGTGTCCTGTGGGTCCAGGCATGCCTGGGACCATGGTGCGTACCGGCGCTTGTTGCTGAGGGGTGCAGTGAGGATGGGCGCACACCTCTGCCGGGGGCCGGGCCTCCTCCCTCGAGTAGGGCCATGCCGCTTCCTGTGTCCCGGAGTCACCGGCTTCCCTTTTCCTTCCCGTCTCAGCCCTTTCCTATTCTCTGCCCTTGTCTTCCCAGTGGACCTGCCCTCAGGGACCCCTCTCCCTGCAGATACAGCCGGAACCCATGCTGCCAGCCCCAGTGCCTCTGGCTGAAATCCTGCTGCTGGATTTGCAGCCCCTTGCCTCCCTCCCTCCCTCCCTCTGGCCTCACGGCCTCTCGTCACCCCTAGCCCCACCTGGAACCAGGGGACAGGCAGGGCAAGCTGGAGCCAGCAGGCTGCCTCCCCCACTGGCCTCAAATGTCCCACCACCCAGCCACTGAGATATCCCCGGTCCCACCCTGCAGGGCTCACCCCAGACTGGCCGTCAAAGTGCCCTGAATCCTCGGTGGCTCAGGGCTTCTGAGGCCTGTGTGAGGGAGGAACCTGTTAGCTCTCCTTCCACACTGATTTGGGGTGTCCTGGCACTGGGGTAAGGGGAGCCCCTGTGTAGACAGCTCCCTCCCCAGGGCGCCCCTCTAGTCCCCCCATTCTCCGGACACTCAGACTCAGGGTACAGCACTCAGAGGCCCAGGCTGCCTGAGGCCTGGCTCCGAGGAGCATACCAACCAGGGAGACAGCCATGTCGGAGGGCCTGCTGTGTGTCAGCTCTCTGTTACCTACGGTGACCCTGAGGCCCAGGGCGCTGGGGTCCCCCACGCTGGAGCTTGCCGGGGTCATACACCACAGCTCCAGGTGATGGCCTGGGAGAGGACTTGGGCAGGGCCTGCAGGGAGCATGGGCCCGTGTACGGTGGCCGGGCCCCTGACCCATCTGGCACTCTGGCCTTGCCTCTGCAGAGCTAGGGGACAGGAGATGGGGGAGGGAAGGTCACAGGCGCCACCTGGCCACACAGACAGCTTTGGGTGAAGAAAGCGCCTTCGCAGGCAAAGAAGTGGGAACAAAACTCTCTTCGCAGGGGTAGAGGCCCTGGGGCACCCCCAGCCCAGCTATTAGGCTCTCAGTGGGAGGTTCTGAGCAAATCTCAAGAGGAATTGGGGTCAGCCCTACTCGGAGGGTGGGTGGGGCAGGCCCTGTGTGAGCTGCTACTCCGCCTGGGTGTGGGGACCAGTTGTGTGTTGGCTGTGTGTGTGTGGGGGGGGGTATGGTTGTTAATGGGTGTGGACGGGTCACTGTGGATGTGGTTGAGTGACGTGTTATTTTGTGATTGTATACGTGATTGTCTATATGCTGAGCTGGAAACCCTGGTAGCG